GGCGGGGGTTTCCGGCTGACGGAGCCATTGCTCCTGGCCACCTCCTGTGGGGAGGGTGCAGTGGTGGCTGTCACCACCAGTGTCTTGGGGGGAGCTGGGGATGGGTGGCCTCCGTTGGCATAGACAGGGCGGGCGTTGGTGCTCCCAGAGCGGGAGAAGGGCTGGCGCACGTCATTGTTGTTGCTGAAGCGGGTGAAGGAGTCTGTGGCGTGATTGGCTTTAGGGTCATTCCAGTAACGGCTGTTGTAAGTGTTGGAGGAGGTGAGGGTGTCATTCTCCGAGGAGGATGCGTCCCCATGGAACGCTTTTGTGGATGCTGAGCATTTCGGTGGTAGGTCATCCTCCCTAGAGAGAGAGAGTAGGAGATCAGAATCCTGCCTAGAACCCACTTGCAACCCTCACCTCCCTCCACAGAGCAGTTAGAACCTGCTAGAAGAAGTAAATGAAGGCAGATGAATGGTTCTGTTTTCCATTTTCAGTCAGAAATGCATTCCCATTTCAACATTTTTTTATTTTAATTTAAAATGCTGAAACACTTTTTAAAATGCTGAAAGCCAAAATGGAATGTTTTGTTTGACCCAAAATGAATCATTTGAATTTTTTAGCACATCAAAAAAAATTGTGAGCGAGATAGAGGGAGACTGAAACAAAGTGGGATTTTTTTTTTTCCATAATGACTAGCCTACCAAAAAATTGGTTGCTCACACAGCTCTAGTGGTAGTGGTGATTACCGGTGCTTGGAGATGCACACAGTGACCAAGTACACCATCCCAGCCTGTTCACATATCCCCTGTTCTGACTCTCATCTTAGTTTTTGTTAATTGTCCCGCCTGCTCATATCGTGCCACTGAGGCAAAAATCCCATGGGAAGCAGGTGTGTGTGTGTGTGTGTGTGTGTGTGTGTGTGTGTACACACGCCATGGCTGTAAGCTTGGACAAAGTGTCTCCTATATTTACCCAGAGCCCTCCCCTATTGCTGTTTGGGACCATGGCATAGAATGCCTCCCTTGTCCTACACCCACATTCAGCCCTTTAGTTCTGATCTCCCTGTCCCCACGTAGCCACTGTTGTCCCATCCCCCTAGTGTAAAGACAGAGTATGCAGAGCTCTCCCTGCACATCCCTACGAGAACTCAGACCTCTTCCACCCACCCAGAAATTTGCTATCTCCATCATTTGCCTCCATTTTATGGATGCAGGTGCTCTTGTCAGCCTCAGTGAACATCAATGGGATCAGCAGGATGTGGGGGGAGAGGAGCTAAGACCACTCGGAGCCAGCTGGGACCATCTGACTGCCCTGAGCCCAACCTTATCTCATTGGGAATCTCCTCCTCTTCTTCCTCCTTGTGTTTGTTCTTCCAGTAAACCAGTGCCACGGCCACCAAGACAATGCAAACAACGAGCACGACGGCACCCGTGGCAACAGTTCCAGCAATCAGGCCGACACTCCGGGGATGAGCTGTGGGGGACATGGAACAATGAAGGAAGGAAGAAATCAGAATGTGGGTGCAACCTGGAGCTCTAATGACTTGAGGTAGGGAAGAATGTGGTTGCCCAGATGGGTCTCCATCTCTACAGTTGTGGGTACTATGGTGCTAGACAACAGAGGTGTGATGATTCAGGGTATACATGGTGACACTGGTTACCAGAGCAAAGTTCAACTGCAAGTCCAAACCTCTCAGTGGGATGTACTTACGTGCAATGACTTGCAGGTCCAGGAGGCAGGTGCTGGTTCCAATGGCATTAGAAGCCACGCACTGGTAAAGACCTGAGGAACCAGTGCTGATATTCCGGAGGGTGACCGTGCCCTGGACTTGGTCTAGACAAACCGGGGAAAAAGAAGGATTTGTACATAACTCTCTCAGAAAACCATGAAAAGGCCAATCCAGCAAATAGAGAATTCTGGTGTGAGACGCTTAAGAGATGAGGTTATTTCCTAATTTATATAAGATGGAAACACACGCATGCAAACACACACACGCTCATGCATGCACACACACGCACACACACACACACAAGATTAGGTTTTAATGAGCTTACAGGAGATGTTTCCTTTTTCTTTTTGTAGATTAACTTTTGTCCCTTAAGGCTTTGAGCTGATATGGTGCAAGAGAAGAGAGCCAGGCAACATACAAGCAAAGAATGTGCAACTTTCACCACATAGTTCTCCCCATGAATTCAATCCTGCCCTGCAGCCTCCTCTGCTATTCCATTCCTTGGCTCTGCACACAGCCAGTGCCAATGCCCCTCACTCCTGACTTGCAGTCCTCCCCACCCTCACGGTATTCTAGCCACAGGCTGCCCACACAGCTCTGCTAATACCTCTCACTGCTGTATTATATAGAAATCAAAGGATTCCATTCTAAATGAAACTGTGGAGTATGTTAAGGTAGAAGACTAGAAGTACACAGGCTGCTATTTGTCCATAACATCAAGACTGACTTCTGTGTCTGATGAGCAGTACCGTGGATTTTTTTCAGAACAGAAAATGTCAGAACCTTGGCTTGATTTCACATCTGGAAGACAGCTCCTCCAGCAATACAACACTCCTCAACACCACACTGGGACATAGGGGTAAGACTACACAGCCAAGAGGTTGCCTGATTCTTTGCGTGACCCTCAGGCTACCTTTCCCCACTTTCTAGCCATTGGCTCTTTGAGTTTGCTTTGGTAGGTGCGTTAATCTGGGAGCCCCCCTCCCCCCCCAAATCAATAGCGACCAGTGACCATCTTCTTGTTATTGTTGGTGAGCAGTTGTAGCCCAAGAGGCATTTCCTATATGAAGAAACACAATAGTGGAAAATGGCCACCAGAGGGCAACCAAGACACTACAGCTGCCAAGTCACCCTTTTACTCTCCACGGGGAGCCTTCTTAGGGAACAAGTGCCTATGCAGGGACTCGGTATACTCCCAACATTGTGTCATTACTGGCAGCGCAGACAAACCCAAGCCACATTAGCCATGTGGGGAAGAAGAAGATAAACAACAGAGTGGACACCTTGTGTGGCTGTCGGGGGCAGCCGGGGGGCATTGTCCAACTTCTCCCAGAGGTATGTCGGCCGAGGGATGCCTTCTTCTGAGTTGCAGCTCAGGGTGATATCGCTGCCAACATCCAGGGACCCCTGAATTCCGCAGAGAGGAGCAGACGGAGGGACTGCAAGGAGAGCAGAGAGGAGAGAATCAGCATGTCAGGAGGCCCATTCGACAAATGACCTGGGCTCCTGCTGCTCACCAGCTGCTTGTGAGCATGGCCCCAGGTCCAGGAAAGCAGGGCCACCAATGTAGTCTACAGCGGGCAGCTGAAAGGCAATAAAAGAGAGATACTAACAGAACCAAAATCCCAACTAAGGCTCTGGTGTGAAAAAGAAAAGTGTCACATTGCTGACTTTGTCATGGCCACTTTGCATTTGACCCATCTGCAGTTCCCTGGCTGGAATAACGAGAGAACTCCTTTCATGAAATCCTCCTGCTCCACAGCATGTGTGCTGGTTATGGGCTGAGGACAAGAAAACATTTGCCTCCATGAAACAGTCATGGTACATGGGCCAAGTGCATTATTGGGGGTTTATAACTACTACAAAGACTCAATACAGGCCACTTTTAAGGAAAGAACCTAGAGTTGAGGACCATAGGTCCAATCCATCCTCCTGTTGCTACTATCATGACCCCTTTTAATATATCTGTTCCCAAAACACCCTCATTCCCTCAATACATTTCCCAAAACACCTCATATCATAGCCCCAAAAGTCCTTTATTCCCCCAATATGTAGGGATAGCTCAGTGGTTTGAGCATTGGCCTACTAAACCCAGGATTGTGAGTTCAATCCTTGCAGAGGCCATTTGGGGCAACAATTTGTCAGGGATGGTACTTGGTCCTGCTGTGAAGGCAGGGGACTGGACTCCATGACCTTTCAAGGTCCCTTCCAGTTCTAGGAGATAGACAATCTCCATTTATTTATGTACAAGATATCCTCCCATACTTCCCAGTAGAGCCATCAACCTCCCCCTTATGACTTACCCCCAGTGTTTCCAGGTCACACCTCAAAGCCCCCAGACTCTCTTGTTCTCCATGCACCCCCTACTAGAGAGAGAGAGAGAACTCCCTTGTCTCCCCAATACACGCACCCAAGACGGTGAGTCCAATGACTCCAATATTCCTGCCGCCTCGGTCTGGAAGGTTGTTGACCAAACACTGATACGTGCCAGTGTCCGACAGCTGGGTGTTGTTGATGAAAATGGAGGCACTGGTGGTTGGCATTGTCCCTGCAAACCCCACTCGCCCATAGAACTGGGGTGCACCACCAAAGATCTGCCCCCCTTGGTAGAGAATCACCTAGAAAAGAAAGAAGGATCAGACATCTCTCTGTACTGGCTGGTGTGAAGAAGCAAAGTGTATATTACCATGAGGGGCAAATCAGAAAAGGCCAGTGCCCAATGGACTGCAGTGAAACCAAATTGACAGTAGCTCCCATGTGGCTGTGCCTGATAGCAGAGTCCCTCTAAAGGGGGACTGTCCTGTGATAAAGCAGGAAGTCAGTAGTGGCCTCAGAGGCAGAGGCTGTGTGTCAGTAACACACTCCGATTGCCACGGAGAAGAGAGAACCATGTGCCAGATTTCTAAGTTTATTTCTATGGCTGGATCTGGAGTATCCACCTCCTCCTCATCTGATGGTCAGAATCCACCAGGAGGGATGGATTCTGTGCTAGTGACTCTCCATAGCTGTTTCCAAGAGACAAGCCTGAGTGTTTTGTTGGAAACAGGTACTGAGGAGCGGGGCGCAGCCACCGTCACTTTAGCTCTCCCCTCGGTGGAGATGCCTTAGCACAATTTGCAGGTGCCTGTTCAGTTCCTCACAATTAACCTCACCACCCTCTAAGGTGTGCGCCTGCGCGGCCGCGCACAAACCATTCTATGCCTGCCCATCTCCTTCCCAGGGCTGTGCCACAGCACTCGCTTTCCTGCTGGAAGGTGAGTGGTGTGGTGCATTC